CATTATTTATTTATTTATTTTATTTTTTCCCCCGGAACATACCCCAGCATGAATGTTCCACCTTGTTCCAGAGCTCTATGGACAGCGGCATAGTACCCCGCCTCTGGAAACATTCCACAGTCATCTCCATTCCTAAAAAAAGTACAACCAAAGCTCTGAATGATCTTCGGCCCGTGGCTCTCATCTCTCTAGTGATGAAAGCCATGGAAAGGGTCGTAAAACACCACATCATCAGAACAAGTAACTCCCATATGGACCCGCTTCAATTTGCATATCGCAAAGACAGAGGTGTTGACGATGCAAAATCATTCATTATAGACACCATGCATAAACATCTACTCATCAGTTACACTCTTGTTTGCCAACTTTTCCTCAGCTTTCAACACTCTGCAACCCCACATCCTGGCTACTAAACTCTCCCTCAACTTTTATCTGGACAACCAGTTAATCCTGTGGATATTGGACTTTCTGACCAACAGATCACAGAGAGTACTGGTAAACAATACTCTCTCTGACCTTCGTTATACCTCTACCGGGTCGCCCCAAGGATGCATGCTGTCTCCTCTGCTCTTCATCTTATACACGGATGACTGCAGAACCACACAGCCCAACTGCCATCTGGTGAAGTACGCTGATGACTCCATCCTCCTGACTCTGCTGTCAGGCCCCTCACACAACCATGGTCACGCTCTGCAGAAGTTTGTGGGCTGGTGTGACACCTCATGTCTGGAACTAAACGTCAGTAAAACCAAGGAGATGGTGGTGACTTACACCAACAAGCAAAGGGACCTGGCTGCAGCAGTTACCACCTTCATCCATGGTAAACCAGTAGAGCTAGTCCAGGAGTATAAATATCTGGCCACCATCTTTGACCATCTGCTGAAATTCTCCTCCAACACAGAGGAGATTCTCCAGAAGTGTCATCAGAGGCAATACCTCCTTAGGAATCTGAATTCCTTTGGAGTCAGGAAAGAACATTTTACAGTCTTTTTATTACTCCTTCATAGAGAACGTCATCTAATTCTCCATCAGGTGCTGGTTCCATTCCACCAGCACGCAGCACAGAAATCGGCTACAGTGCACTGTCAGCGTGTGCTCTAAGATTATTTGTCTGCACTTGAGATCCTTAACGCACATCTGTGACCAGCAGACACACAGGCTAGCACTCAAAATCATTAAAGACCCCTCACACCCACTGAACTCTGCCTTTGAGTGGCTCCCCTCCAAACGCCGGCTCCGTTGCAGGACACAGAGGAGGAGGGCCACCTTTGTTCCTAAAGCTGTCCTTCTTTTGAACTCCTGACACCCCACCAAGCCCACCATTATCACCTCACACTCCCACCTCCCCTCCCCCTACAATCCAGACCTCCTCAGATCTGAGTCTCTCTCACTTCTCATTTCAATGTCAAATGTTACAATGTTACAAATTCCAAAATGTTATTTGTGTGCGCTGCTCCTCTATGCCTTTTAAATTGCCCCTCATGGACAAATAAAGTTTTTTGGAATTGGAATTAGTTAAGTTTTCCCCAAATGACCTTGATGGGCCGAATGGCCTCCTCTCGTTTGTAAGTTTCTTATGTTCTTATGCTATCTTGGTAACATAAGCATCGCAAAATCACTTATTAGGCAGATGTTACAGAAACACTAAACTGTATAAGAATGTGGCGGGTGGTTTTTTAAATTGTTCCCCATCATAGGGCCCTGTAAGTTTCTCTATCAGAGAGAAATAACAACTTAGAAATTTAGTTAAAATTGTTAAAGTGACCCATGACCATGCAGTAGACAGATTGATGCTTGTAATCAAGATTTTAAAAACAACCACTCACATAATGCGAAACAAGATTTTTCTTTGTTTTATAGTAAGTTTGTTGTGTTTGCCAGACACTTGTATCCCAGGCAACAGAGGGGAGGAAATCAAAACGGACAGGCTTTTGAATCCAAAATTGTCTGAGTGGCTGTTTCCTGAGACAAGGGCATGTTTGCCAGGCTCAAAGGAGAACAATGCTGTGGTTTTATTGAACCATTGGCCCATGGCAAAGCTTTAACACCATGCTTTGACTCAAAGGCCCAATGTGCTCCATCCATTGTGTGTTGCCACATTCTCTGCTAATGAGTGCATTGTGAGCATGTGTCTGTTGCTACAAAATGAGCGGTTTCTTATGAGGAGAGCTGAAATACCTGCCGTTATCTTCCATCACAATTGATTTGTCTGTGTCACAAAAACACTGTAGCATTTCACTTATAACATTTGGTCCCTACAATGTAATACAATGACAGAAATAATTGTTTGACCCCCCCATTGAATTCACCCATTTATAAAGAAATGAGAAGTCTATAATTTCAATGGTATGTTTATTTCAACATCAGAAGATAGATTTTCAACAAAACAAACAAGAAAAATGTAACAGTTACAAATCAATTTGTCACTTATTTAGGGAAATAAGTATTTGATCCCCTACAAGTCAGCAAGAAAACAAGAAGTACTTAAGTATTAACAGATACCAAGCCAGCATTCACATTTAATGGCATTACTTTGTTTAAAGTAGTGCTGTCAAACGATTAAAATTTTTAGTCAGATTAATTACAGGGTTGCTGTGGATTAATTTCGATTAATCATGATTATCATTAATTTTTCATCTATATTAATCGCATTTCATTTTGCATGAGCAAACAGACTCAAGAAAAAAGGGAATATATATGCACTTAACATGTTTATTGAACATCTTGAACACGAGTCGGATGCATTCCATCTGCAACAGAAGTGCAATACCATGGACAGTATTGTAGCCTGCAAAAATAACATATACTGTAAGCAAAAATATCTATGTATTAGACAATCATGTACAAATTGTCATCATCACAGTGTGTTCAGTATGTCGGGGGTACCTTATGGTGCTTTCAATTATTTCTCTCCAAGTCAGAACTCGGATGAAAATGTCACGAAATGTCACAAAAAACGTTACTTCCCGTCGGAAACACACCTCTTTTATGATGTTGATATCAGACAAGATTTTGTTGTCCGAGTTGCCCCTGTGACGTAATTTCAACATGGGGGTTTACACACTGAACAGTAATTCTATTTTATAAATCTTAAAAAAAATATATTTTGTTAAATGTATTCATAGTTATAAATTTAACTGCACGTGTTCGATTTAGGGAATACCATATCATAACCGTAAACAGTATCCTATCATGCAGT